CAATATTAGTAATAAAGATAATACAAGTTATATTTTTCTAATAGTGCCAACCAAGTACATAACAAATGAAGACAGTCATTAGGAACTTAAGCAGTTTTCACTACACGCTTCTGTATTTTCCCCTCATACTTGTCAAATTTCAAATCTAAGGTGATTCCTACAGTAGAGTTCCTGATCTGAGAATATAAAATGATCTCATTTTAAAAATAGATACCTGGTAAGAAATCACCACAGGAACACATAGAAATGGAAGAAAGATTAGAATTCGTCCTCTAGGTCCCAGGTCAATGGGGATTCAGCAATACCCAGATTGTCTTCCATAAAGAGAAGTCACCCATGTTGAAATTTTCATATGATTGGCATCTCATTTTCCTTAACCTTTGTTAAGGAATTACCAGCACACTCATGCATTCTTTTTTGATAACAAATCTCAGTAGAGCTGAGCCATATGTTGCTCCTTGGTTCTTGGAATAGAGTGCTTAGGTTGATACTTGAGCCTCAAGACCTATAAATAACTTCTCTAGGAAACACCATTATATAAAAATAATCTGACCTTTAAAAAAGACTGACATTTGGATACTGGTCAAAATATTACTCCGTAACATTAAAATATGTCATCACAGTGTTATAATATTGTGACACATGATGGTGTCACAACTTCAGGTCAACCCCACAAAGTATCAGTCTAAGCAATTGACTGACACAGATTTGTGCATTCAAAGGAAATCCTTTCTGATGTTCTGCAGGGTGGGGAGCAGCTTGGAGCGAGGGCAGTGTGTAATTTATGCACTTGATTTGGCAACTGGCCAACACAGTTTGGGAAGATCGACACAGAAACTGCTCATCAAGCTGATTAACAAATACAAACAAGGGATGATTCTTGTTAACAGCACCAGGTTGGGAAATACCAAAATATTGTGTTTCCCATAAGAAGCTTGCAAGACTAACTGTGGGCACCACTTCAGATGTGTTACAGTTTATGCAGCTAACTTCTTCCAGGTGGGACAAGGATTTAATTTGTAATAGAGAGAACTGGCATTTCTTTTTACCCCATTATTTGTGAGTGTGTGAAAATTCTTATGTAGTAAGAGATGAGTTTAATTCTGGCTGCATGTTAGATTTTCTTGGGGAACTGTTTCAAAAATAGCAATGACCTGGGTTTCCATCATCAGTGACTTTGATTTAATAGGTCTGGAGGAGGAAGGTACATTTATGCATCTGGTACTTTTTGAAAGGTTTTTAGATGATTATGACGTGCATCCAGTTAATCTTCACATAGGTAACACCAGCCTTACTTGGGAGCATGTTAAAAAACAGGGTTAGCCTTCACCCAGGTTTAAGGAAACCGAATCTACATTTTAACATGATTCTTAGGTGAATGGTACACATATTACATTTTGAGAAACACTGCCATAGAGAAAGGAGAGAGAAGAATAAGGATATTTACCAATGTTTGGTGATAATAAAGATAATACTGATGAAAATAATTGTCATAGCTAATGCTTATTAGGTGTTCACTGTGTGCCAGACACTCTTCTGAACACTTCACTTGCATTAACCCCCTTAACTCTCAAAACAATATAGAGAAGTAGATATTGTTATTATCCCTATTTTTCAGATGAGAAAATTGGTGTTTATGAACTTGTACAAAGTCTCTCAGCTATTGATGGCAGATTGGGCACCTGCAACAATTTTCTCCCTTTGTATTAAAGAAACATGCAGTTTATCAGCCAATAATGAATGAAATTGAAGGACCTGGCATTCTAATACACTGGCCTAATTGGGAGACTCTGACTCAATAGGGATTATGGTCTATATGGAATGTGAATGACCTTGCTTTCTTTACCTATAAAAGAATCACAGGATAAGTGAGATGAATAACCAGTAAGTATGAGATATTAGACAACCTAGGGTATCATTATCTCCAAGGCACTCAAGGATCAGACCACATTTACAACTTTGAATTTGGATCTTAACTTTATTCCACGATCATGAAACTCAGTCGATCTCAATGAAGGGCACAGAAACATAGAAAACATTTTCAGAAGGGAAATATTGGACTAATTAATGTGCTCTTTTCTTCTTAAGAAAAACCATGAGAGTTGCATTTGGGGAGATATTTTCTGAAAGCAGCAAGTTTCCCCCTGGCCGATCTAAAATAAATATTATTCTATTAGGTGCTAAAGAAATATTTGTTGAGTTAATGAATATGGATACAAAGTGCTCTCTCAAAGGTAATTCTATTCTGTTTTTCAGAGACTGTGAATGTGGTGCATAGATGAGTTTTATTTGTCATGAGTAGACATTTTTTTCCAATGAGTGAACATTACATTATATGTAAAATCAAGGAATTTTACGTATAAATATGTAGACAAAAAATCCAGATTGTGTCTACACGTTTATGTGCAAAATCCCCTGATATTGATGCTGGCTTACTGAAATCTAGCTGGTTCAATTGAATTGCATCAAATCTAGCTTTTTCTTTAAAATGGAAAGATCTGGCAATACAGAGCCCACATTCCACGTGCAACCATCAGCCAACACTTCATGGTGCTGCCCATAGGAATGAGGCACATGCTCACTAGTCACCTGCTGTCCCACCTGTAGTGGGCTAACTGGTGGCCTCCAGAAATAGAAACCTAGTTCTTAATCCCTGGAACCTGTAAATCTTACCTCCTGTGGCAGCAGAGTGGCTATTACATTAAATGGCAAAGGATGTGATCAGGTATGATCTTGAGGGGAAGAATTTACCTTGGATTACCTGGCTGAGCCATAAATGCTATCACATATATCCTTTATGAGAGAGGCAGAGGGAGACTGAGACAGACACACAGAGGAAGATGGAGCAGAGGGAGATGTGGCCACAAGCCAAGGAATGCCAATGGCCTTCAGAAGCCAAAAGAGGTCACAGCCTCTTCTTCCCCTGTTTTTGCTTTTGGCAAACAAATGAATTTTTGTTGTTTTAAGCCACCCAGTTTATGATAATTCGTTATGGCAGCCCTAGGATAGTCACATAATACTAACACACATAGATGCCTGGGTGAAATCACTTGCGTTTCTATAGGGCAGAGGCATATTTGCTGGGTAAGGTGTACAAAGTAGGACATAGTAGTAATAGCTCTCATCTCCCTGGGCTGCTACTCTCTAAATCCAGGCATTATCCCTTAGAATGAATCTAGTTGAGATTCACTCATTTTTGCTCTATACCAGGATATTGCTATCTTACTATAAAAGTATGCCGTTTAGGTAGATTTATATGTTTATATCATAACTTTATAAAATGCTGTAAAGAATGTATTTCCCATCAGATATAAAATAAATAATATAGGCAAAAGATCCTAAAGGATTGAATACTCCATAATCCTCATTTCACAAATGGGAAAACAAGACCCAGAGAAAGAAAACGAAGGGCCCAAGATCACACAGATAATTCCACAGGCAGAATGAGGAACAGAACTCCTCACTATTGGTTCGTTACTCATTTCACATCCCATCCAACCCCTTTTTCATAATCATGAGAGTATTACTTTTAGTTCTTTGATGACTGAAATAAGACTGACTGTGAGGTCCATTTAATCAAGTGCCATTTTTGTTCAAGGGTAGTATTGTCATGCCCTGAATCTATCAAAGGAAATGCTTTAAGTCCATCTCTAAATAGGACTTTTTCTAAGCAAACTAATTTATCCAGAACATTTAAGTCACTTCATGTTTAACTATAAAAAAGTCTTGTCATGATATAAGTAGTGTTTAATGCACTAAAGAGTAGGGGTATTTTTTTTAAATAGTGGACAGGAATAACTCAACTGATCACTTTTTAAAGAGAAGGGAGAAATGAAAGAGAATATGTCTTAAACCATTTATTAGAAACATTTGAAAGGTCTTAAGAAAACCTGAAAAACATAATTGTGTTTTATAAATTGAGGATTAATATATAGTTAAGCACTCAAAGGATGCCATAAATTAATACCGTGCACCAATGTTCTTCTTGGTAAGAGATAGAGAGAGAATCTTTTAATTAAATTTTATTTCTAAAGGTAATTTTTCTACAGTAATCATAGATTCTCCAGTAAGAAAAGAACTAGCTAACACAGTGCTGCATTAGCTGAGTTTTACACCTTTCTAAGCCTTAGGTGGTCGAGTCGCATTTGGACTCCATTCTGCATAAATTTCACACTCGAACACAACAGCAATATATTCCTTAATGCATATCCCAGAACTCCCTAAAAACACATGGAGTCTGAATTTCTGGAACTCATTCATGAAATATAAGGATTTCTGTAACCAGTCAGAAGGCATATTAAAATGCCATGGCAATGTGTTTGGCTATGCCAAGATTCCACCAGACACAGTGACAAGCTTGATTCACCAATCCCCAAAATAAACCTGTATATGATGAATGTTTCTGTAGAGTTCCTGGGTAAATTTAGTGGTTTTCACCATGACTAATTCGAGCCTATTTGTTCAAAGTCAATGGATATGCCCTAATTCCAAATTTGAGTCTCATTTTATATCTTTCTCTTCTGGTATGCAGAAGGGCTAAAAATTAAACTAACCAATCTTGCCTTAAGGAAGAAAATGTGGTTATTTGAGTAGTGATATACTTGCCTTTTATTGGTTCAAGCAGTGGATCTGGGATAATCCAGTTGATCTAAGACACTGAAAGTTAATTTTCGGCAACCTCTGTCTCTGGCTATGAATAGCCTGAATGTTGTTTATTTATTTCTGAGACCTATGTATCATGGCATATAGTTATCTGTAACATCCTCTGCAATAAAAACTCCAACCTCAGTCTCTCCAGAAAGGTCAGTTTCCTATGACTATGTTATTGCCTGTATGACCCATCTCTTACTTCTATCTCACCAAGTTTTGGCTAATTAACTAGGAATAAGCCCTGATTTACAGGCAGTTTGTGGAAGACGTGACCTAGCACCAAAAAAAAAAAAAAAAAAAAAAAAAAAAAAAAAAAAAAAAAAAAAGAAAGAAAGAAAGAAAAGAAAAAGAAAAAATGGAAAAAGCTGAGCTGAGCCAATATGCTGGGATTCTGAACTGGTGCTAGGAAAGAATTAAGTAGCTAAAAATTGCAGCCGAAAGTGAAAGGCCCAATTGAAAGATAAGTCAGACAAGTACCAGGGGCCATATGGAAGTTGAGTTATGAGGAGTCAGGCGTAGGGAGTAAGCAGCGCCATGATGTAGAGAAAAGATGAAGAGTAGAGAGAACACACATGAAGAAGCCAAGCCACATACATCACAGATAAAGCACTGGAACGACAAATCATAAACTCTGTTCTGCAGAGGTGTCTTCAACCTTTTTGTACCTGGAACAATCTATTTCTCGAATAGTCTACCCATATCCAAATCAGCCCTCTCTTTCATCTTTTCTGAACATGATGGACCAAATCACTGGTTTCTATGCATTATTTCATACAAAAGCCTTACCCTCCCATCTCATACTGAAAGAACATGAAGGAGCCTGTTTCTGGCAAGCAAGAGGAAGATTCAAAATATTACATAGGCCTAGTCATTCATCCGAAGATGTTACACCATTTGTCAGGTTTGATTAGGTACTCCTTGAGATATCTCTTTGCTTCCTGCAGAGATCCTGATGCTTCATAACCACTTTGTTTGCTGTTCTACAGCTATCTACAGTTTAGGCATCTGGATGTGCACTGCTCAACGGGACCTAGACAAATGCAGACATATACTGGTTACCGAGAATGCCAAAATACTTTAAAATGCAACTGCACACTTCCTCAACTGCTTCTTGCTGGGCTGTTGAAGGCATTAAGGCATTGGGTGATTAAATATCTGTTATCATTAACTCCAATTTTAACCTCAATTAAATGTTTAGGCCCCATTTAGCCTATGCTCACAAAGTGTTGAATCAAGAGTCTAACTTCTAACATTTTGTGACATGATTCTTCAATTTTAGAACGTTTTCTGTGTTTTCAAATACAATTTAAAGTACTCCTTTGCTACATCTGAAATGATTTGTCTTGTAAGCATTGTATCAGAGTTATAACTAACATTCACTTAAAATTCAGTTTAACACCAGTTCTTGGAGTGCCTAGAGAAATCTGAACTGATTGTGTGTGTATAGATGTTTGTGTATGTTTTAAAAACAATCACGATTTGATTGTGAAATTGTAGGTCAAAAATCATTTCTAAGAAAAAAGGAATTCGATTTTGACATCTAGCCGTATTGGTTACATTTTTCAGAATTTGCATAGCCTTCTCTTAGTGAACTGTAATTTCATGCTTTAGTTAGAGGTATATAAGATGAAATAGTGATCTTCGAGCAACTTGATTTTTTCCTTTCTTTTGAAAGTAATAGAGGTATAACAATTTCAGCTGTTGAGTTATCGGCTCCATCATATAATAAATGTATACTACAAATCTAGCATCCTTATTTTGCAAAGTGCATGGTTTTGGAATAAGCAGCAATACCCTTAGTTTAATGATTCACTGTCCGAGAAAGAACTTCTGTTTTGTGTTTAGTGCCCTTAATATTCCTACTACATAGAGGGATCAATGGTAGATGTGGAAGTAAAATTTAGAACTAAAGACCTTAATTGATCAACCAGTCAGCACACATTTAGTGACCTGTTATGCGCTCAGTGTTGGGATAAATTCCACAGAAAATAAATGTGAAATAAAGACAAGATATTGATGATTTCTGTCTTGGAAGAAGTTCTAATGTGGATCAGAAGATAATATTTAAGCATATGATGCCATGAGACAATCATACAGAATAAAATGTAATGAAATGTTGGGTTGTTAGTTACAGAGTGTTAGATGTCAGAACAGGGAAATTACTATGGTCTGTGGTAAAGGGGGAAACATTATGGATTTAAGCCTTGGACTGAAAGAGGAAAGACTATGGACTAGGTAAGGCTTTGTTCACTCCACGCTCTCTTTATAGAAACATTGCTGCATAAAACTTACCAGAAATAAGTCACCATAGTAGGTTATACGACTTCTCTTCTCCAAGACTGAATCTAAACACAGACATTATAGATATTACCTACATATAAGATTCTCAAGGCTCAAGAAGCCTCTCTACCCCCATCCTCCCATTGCCTCTGAATCAAGCACACCATTCAACATTTGGGCCTTTTTGGAGAGAAGAAAGTGATCTTTAAAGTCATAAAAATTCTAGCCTAGTACTGATCAAGTCATTTCACTGTCATGATGTGACTCTGAACCAATAACTCAGTCTCGGTTTTCATGTTGGCAATAAGGCTGATGACCAAACGATACTGCCAGGCATATGCATGTCATATTGAGAAACGTGCATGAACAGTCATGTGATCACCAGATGTTAGCTACTCCAGTTGCTCTCCTTAAAATGTCAGTTAACCTTTACACATTAACTGGACATTTCAGATTCAGCCATATAAAATTACAAACATTCAATTGTTTTGACTTACAAAAATGACAATTTTATATGATTCAATTTAATGATAATACATTAGTCTACTTTCAGTCATTAACATAATTTCTCTAACATTATGGACAAATCAAAGAATGAAGGGTCTCTTGGAATGTAGAGGAAGGATATGAGACAGGCAAGTTTTGATTTGGGGATGAAATAGAGGGAAATCCAGGGTTGGGAAGTTAGCTTTATCATCACCTGTCATGGCGTCATTGGAAAGTGAATGTCATTGCTGAGTACCTGGATTTGAACAAGGTATAGGAGATGACACATGAACTTAAACTACTGAATACTTGTTTTCTTTTGAGACAGAGTTCATGCTCTATTTCCCAGGCTGGACTGCAGTGGTGCCATCTCGGCTTACTACAACCTCCGCCTCCCAGGTTCGAGTGATTCTCCTGCCTCAGCCTCCGGAGTAGCTGGGATTACAGGCACACACCACAACACCCGGCTAATTTGTGTATTTTTAGTAGGGTGGTGTTTCACCATGATGGCCAGGCTGGTCTTGAACTCCTGACCTCAAGTGATCTGCCTGCCACAGCCTCCCAAGTGCTGGGATTACAGGCATGAGCCACTGGTGCCCAGCACCCAGCGCCCAGCCCTTGGTTCCTACTGAATACTTTTGAACAGGGAAGACCTGACTCTCAACTCCCCAACCCCTCATTGCCAGGTGCACATAATTCTGTATTTGGGGGGCACAGCAGAAGCCAGTTGACTGCTACGTTGAATGGTATCAGCCTTGGCAAGATAGCACAAATCTGGTAAAGGATCCAAGCAAGGCAAGGAACTATAGGTTTGTTTACTGTTTATGCTTTTAAATGTTCCCAGATAAAAACCTCCATTTGTCAATGACCCAGCAGGGAGTAAATGAAAATGCTTATTCAGACCCCTCAGCTGAGAGAGCTCCCTTAATCCGCTCACTGATGAGATAACGCTGTAGGATTACAATAATCAACGTGCAGTATGTCCTCTATTAGCACTGAAAACTATAGCAGTTCATAAGCACTAGAAGACGTTTCTTCATTTACATAATATAGTGACAGAATTTTACCCTCCTGAGACCATCCATTATCTTCCTATCCCTCCCTTGAAGAATTTCAAATAGATACAATTATATTGAGGGCCATTTACAATCACATTTGTAACTGCCCAAACTTTAAAGCAAAAAATGTATATGTATATGCATGCAGTGCCCATCACTGACTTCTTAAGTCACTAAATTATAAACATATCTAGATATTAACAGTGACATTAAGATTCTCAGCTTCCTCTCAGAGTGAGAATTACAATGAAGTGTCTGTGAGACGGGTATGTAAATAGGGAAAGTAATAATGCACAGACTCTTCTTAAAATACTTTCGGTATCACTATTAGTTTATGCAGTGACATTTTAAAGTTATTTCCCTCTACAGCCTTTCCTGGTTAGCCAAGGTAAGGCCCACTGACAAAGAGAGAAGGCACTTTCTGGTACACATTTTTTAAAAAGTTGGTTAAAATTCACATTATGAAATTGCAAAAGTTTAGATAATTCATTCAAACTTGGCTTTTTTCCATGCACTTTTCTAAAGAAAATTTAAAGTGTCAAAAATACATATCTTGGGCTCATTATTAAATGCTAAATACCACAGTGTTTTGAGCTGCCTCGTGGCCATTGTAAAGAAAACAGGTGTTCTGATAGATTATAAAGTGTGAGTCAGATGATGTGTAGGACAGAATTTTAATGAAGCTGCAAGTACAGAACTCTGACTGGCCTCTTGAATATGATGCAAAAACCCTGAAAGTAGTCTTAAAGACAAAATAGCAGGAACACAACTCAGGAAGCATTCATTAATAATCAACAAGTAAATGGGATGTGGAAAATCATTATATTGAGGTGCTTTTGCATTTCAATGCAATTTAATATAGCATTAGCCTAGGGAGAAGGTGGGTATAATTTAAAAGGACATCCATGTCTTTGTATATATGCAAATACATGAAGAATGCGTCTTAATCACCGTGTTAAGTCACTAGTCAAGACCACATGCAAAAGCCACATAATTCTTCTAGGTGCAGAGATTCCATTAGAGATGGAAAAAGGCACACGAGCCTGGCATCAAAGAATGATTATTAATTTCGTTAATTAGGTTTCTATTTAGAAACCTTCTGTGAAGCCTAACTTTTCTGCTCTTTGTTTTCCATTGAAATGTCTAGAGAGGTTATGTAAGTGAAAATACCCTTGGAATTTTAGGTATGTGATGAAATCTATGCTACAATCCAGAGCATTTACAATGTCTGGAAGTAAAGACTACATTTTAAATTAGACAATATCTTTCATTAACAAGTATGAATTTGGTAGCTAGTGTCTTTTACAGAAATCTAGATTATATTCAATTGTCCTAAATTTTTTCATTTACATTTTTCCTGAGTATTACATATTCAATAATTTTGATACAAAAATTAGCATTTTGCTATGTTTTCTGGCACTCATATGCAATCATTATCAAAAGAAATTTCTAAAAAAAAAAAAAAAACTGTGTCCTCAGGCTAATATTTTAGCTACTTCACAGCAAAGACTTCCAGAGAGTTCATCAAACAGACAGAACTTTCACATGAATAAAATTTCCTTTGGCTAAATGAGTATAATTAATAAGAAAACTGGAAGTGAACTTATTTTCATTTGCCCCAAATATTTATAGATTAAACTAAATACTGTGTGTGATTCATTATCTTCACTCCTACATTCTTCAATTGACATTAAGCTCTTTGAGGACAAGGCTCTGAAGACTTCTCCCTTGGTATACCCAGGACTTGGCATAGGGCCTGGCTATTGGAATCCATTGGCAATCCATTGAGATTTGTTTATATGAATTAAAGAATGAAAAACCCACACGTCATATAGAGTTCTAAAAAATACTAAGACTACAGGAAAAGGCAATCTACAAATGCTTTCTTTTTTTTTTTTTAAGGGACTTTGATTTTGTATTTCATTTGCGTCAGATACATTATAAATAAGCAAATTAGCCGCTTTGATAATTTTCTGTTCTCTTTTAAAAATCAGTGGTATAAACTGTATATCTCTTCATTTAAAAATTATACAAACTCGGGGTGAAACAACATTGTATTTAACCTATGTGACTCTTTGTGATATAAATATTAAACACTACTGTCTTATTATTTGCCTTGCAAAGACACTTACATATATACTCTACTTGTAGTCTACATCCTGTAGACAGTAGAAATATTGTAACTTTTCTAATTCTTTTTATGTCCATGTAGTCTGAAACATATATGGTTGTTAAGTTTCATGCTTAAACGTCATTGGCAAAGTGCATTCGCCAATGACATTACCTATCAGATTAAAAAGGAACTATGTATCATGCAGACAGGAGCAAAAATACCCTCACAACTCTCACTGTCAGTATTTACCTTCAAGAACTTGATGGCACAGACAGTTTTCCTTTCCATACATGGCGGTTTACATTTCAGCCTCTGCAAATGCTGTTTCTTTTGAAGGCAATGCCATTCCTCCGGTTTGCTACCTGGGTAGGTTTGACCTGTCAGTCATCAGGCCCTAAACCTCTCTAAGAAGCACTTGCTCAACTTCCGGTGAGATCTCTCCTTCTTCTGGAATCTCTAGAACTTATTTTCTAACAATCGCTTGCAAATTCTTACTTAATGGCTATGGCCATCATTTATTTTTATGGGGAGCCTGGTATTTCTAACCAAGTTTCAAACCATGAAAGACATCTTGTGTGTTCTTCCGGGATCAGCGCAGTTACTGGGCAGAGCCCTCTTAGTAACATGACTGCCTCAGCCACGTCCTGAAATTCATTTGGCAGCAGAGAGTTTAGGAAGTGCTGACCCCTTTATGGTCTCATTTACCTGACAATTCTAGGAAGTTGAGGGGGCCGTGGTCATAACCAGCTGTTCATTTCCCTGTTTTCTCTGTAGCGTGGTTGGCCCTTAAGGGCAGGATAAGGACGGCAGGTTTGTTTTCCAGTATTTTGAAAACCACATGCTGAACATGGATACTCAGTGATAGCTTTTGAAATGAATAAAAGGGAATATTGAGAATCTGGAAGTTAAAATGTCCTGTGCAAAGTCCTGGGGCCACTGAGTTGAAGAGAGCGGGAAGAACCCTGTACTGCCTGCTTTGTAGGGAAACACTCAGCACTGCATTCTAACTCGTTGGCCATCTGGGCATTTAAAGAAACAGCTAAGAGAAAAGAAGACTAAAGGGGAGATGCTACATAGATGCCTTATCATTCTTCCTTGCTAGAGATTATAGCATTGATCTGACCATGGTGAGACCCAGGAGAATGGGGTCTTAGTCAGCAGGACGATGACTGCCCGCCAACTCAATAGCACAGCTAACAATCGGATGTCAGTGGAGGATAAACTGCTTTCCCTTCCATAGAAGTGGCTCCTCGATGTCTAGGGTGAGGTATTTTGAGAAACAGGAAAGCTTCTGCTGAATGTATATAGAGAAATCACAGAACATCACTGACTATGCCCAGGCTAAGAATAAGTGCACTTCATTAGAGCAGATAATATGTGTGTTCAGTTCATCCTGTCAAGCACACCTGCTCTAAAGTGGCTATTCCAGCAGATCCTGCAAATGGCATGTATACCGAAGACGGCACCAGATGCCAAAACAAATATTTAGAAACATAAGTAATGAGGCTTCACAGAGGATCTACATATTTAAGTGTTTCCTACCAAACAGGCTCATAAGGCATTTATATGCCCACTATAAAACCGAGCACTTGAACTTCTGGGAGGCAGGCTTGACTTCAGTACTCTAGTTTTGACTGTATTTACTGTTTACTTTCCTTTTACTGAATTTTACTCTATTATTAAAATGATAGTCTATATTTTATCGCCTCTGAACATCTCCAAATAAAACATATTTTAGTGCCCAAATAAGTGCAAGCAGACTTTAAAGAGGCCTTTTCAAAAACCCTCACAGAGTCCCTGGGTCAGGTAAGTGACATGTTACTAAGGAAGATAAAAGAGAGCTCAAAGTAAACCATTATTCCTTGCTTTCTATCCAATTAAATTAAAGCCAACAAATGGCCTAAACCCCAGTGGAATGAGAGTTACAGATTTTATCTCATGTCTATGAAAAATGAGACTTTAGGGAAACCTTTGTGTTTCAACTCTTCCACAATAAAATCATATCTTCAAACCAGTTACACCTAGTCCCATTTTCTTTCAAAATCCAATCCCCTATCACTTCTTTATTCGTGTACTAATCAATTATAATTTAAGGGCATTGACAACTAGAAGTACACTGCGATTGCTCTTATCATCCCTGCTTCAAGGAAAGATAAGACACTGTAACTTATCCATTTAAGAATTATAAAAGGAGGAAAAAATAAACACAAGCAAACTACTTCATAAAGATAGATACAACAAAAGCTCAAACACAGGAAAAATTAAATTGTTTTTCATGGAGTTCCATAGGTAATTCTGACATCTGTGTCACTTGAGGGCAATGGATAAGCCATATTTTAAAAGTAATTTTGTCATAAATCTGAGTTCTCTTCCAAATCTAAGAGTTCGTAGTTAGGAGGCTAAACGTAGTGCCAAAGAAACATCAGTAAAAGAAAAATCAACATACAAAAGATGCTATTCCTTTTTCCTGTTCGGAGGAACCGATAACACTCGTGCTATAAATTCATTGCAGCCAAGGATTCCACTACATCCCTCGGAGTGTAGGGATTGTAACCTGTATAATGTAAAATGAAAATTATGTTATATTATGCACTGTCATGCACCTCAGCATCGGTGTTAGGGTATCAGTTTTAATGAACTATTTGAAATAGTGCTGATGAAACTCGATTTTAAAAAGCAAGAATCAGAGTTACCCATTAACAGCTGCGTGCGCCATGCCAAATTCGTTTAGTGACTAAGGCATGTTACTCAATTTATACCCAAGATCTGTTATGGGTTATATCCAAGCATCGAAACATGCAGTTTATATGCTGTTCTCAAATACTTTTCATGGATCTGTGTGTCATTTTTCTTACATTACCTAGGCAATCTTGTAATGAATTCAAGGTGTCTTTTGAGTTTTTTATAGTCAAACCTTACTGATATTCAACTGCTTTCAAATCTAGAGCTTTGCAGTCCAATTCTGAGGTTGCCTATGTTCAAATGATCCTTAAAACAGAACATCACACAACTCACATGCTCAGTATTTCTGCTTTGCTTTAAAATCCATGTGTTCTGCCTATAAAAGGCTGACAATGACTTTCTAAGACTGCTTCCACAAATAACTTAAAGTAAGAAATTCTACTTCAAATTTCATTTCTCTTGGGGAAATAAAGGTATTTCTTGTTATTTAGTGGCCCAAAATGTGGAATCTCACCTTAGTTGAACTGACTAAATGTGTGGTTGTAAATATGGGAAGTGTACCATCACTCCTATTTTTATGACCATTACAGACATACTTAATTGATCACCAGTCTCTTTCAACTTAGTTCAGGTTTGTCCTGCAGTGCTCATGGCACAGCCTACCAAGTGTTATCAGGCAGTCATGACCATTGATTGGAGCTTGCAATCACAATTCTTTTCTCTTTATCTCATTCATGGAGAAGGAAAGTCAGATTGAATAAGAAGTAAATTCCTCTCTGCCACAAACCTAGTTAATTGCAGAGCCCTTAAGATTGTATTTAGGTCATGTCATTGTATGACAAAAGAATGCAAATTTCTTCTCTCCGTAGCAATTGGTAGCAAAGAAGCATTAAGGTTGATCAGTGCTTGGTAGTGGTTAGAATGAGACTGGCTCTGTCCTAGAGAGGAGGATGAATTTTCTGTGTTCCTGGCATCTCCATTTCAGAAGCAGCTGAACTCTACTCCTTCCTAAAGACCTAACTCACGTTTTTCTTTCTCACAGAGTTTTTTTCTTACTCTGTGAGCCTCTCCAAAATAAAAGCCAGTTTCTTTTACTCTGATTTCCCAGTCTTTTATCTGTCCTCCTTGGAAGACAATCAACATTTTCTTTCTGCATGTTTTACCCTTTCTCTACTAGATTGCAATGAGTTAAGGACATGGAACTATTCTTATTTATCTTGGAATTTATGCTAATCCCTTGTTGCAGTGCTTTATGTATAGAAGGTATGTGATACATATGGAATAAATGGCATAGGATAAAATGTAGAAGAAAGGGATGGTGTCAAGAAGGAATTGATTCCGTGTTCAAACAGGACTTCACTTAGTTCCTACTTCACATCCATCTCTCTTTCTTACTTTTATTTTATTATCTCACAATGTACTTAATTTGGAATCCATCTCGTCACAAAATGAGAAAAAGCTATGATTTAATGTCTGTATTTGGAAACATAATGAGATTCAGGATTTTATACATCATATGCAACAAAATATCAGAAGTATTGCAATTGTAATTTAGGTGACGTAGATATAATCATAGGTGGAGTTCCCCAGTCCATACAATCAACAACAAAAAACTAAACTAAAATGTCAGCTAACTCTTTCTTTGTTTCTCTCTCTCTCTTTCTTCTTCCTTAATAAGCATTGATTTTTTTTTCTATAATAATAATTCAGGAAAATAATTACTGAGAAATATTTATGATGTAAAACAAACTACTGATCCTCTACACTTACCTCCCTTTTCATTCAAAGTGTTCTTCCTAGAGCAATGGCACTTTCAAAGGGAATAAGGTGAGCTCTACAAATTGGTGCTAGCTTGCTTCAACATAACTTGGAAATTCACTAGTAGCATCAAAAAATGCCACAAAATGGCCACAGACATTATTTCAGGAACATTCATGTTATGGGAGCATGGCAAATTGCTTTAGAGATGTTACAAGAATACTGCTGCATTTAGAAGACATAAGAGAAAGTCACCAACTTGAAAACTTCAGAGGTTAAATTACGTGCATTAATATAGCCCCATTTCAAACGGAACAAATACATTTTATATGTCAGTACATTTAAAACAAACATCAGTCAAATGCAATTGAACAAATAGATATTGAGAGCCTGTCTGTGCCAAGTGCTGTGCTAGGCTCCAGATGAAAAGCTATATGACAGATGTAGATTTGCTCTTGAGAATTTAGTGACTAAAACATTGATAGTGAAAAGACAGCCAGATATGATGATAGCTACGTTTCATTCTGTAGGTACCCTCGCTTGTAATTTAGGTTTAGCTGTGATATATTGTTCTATCATTGAATTGATCCCTACCATATGGACTTGAGAGTCAAAAGAACTTAGGTCTGAAACCTGGCTCTGCCACTTAATTGCTTTTAAAGTTCCTTGGATTACTCAGCATCCCTAAGCCTAGCATGGGATAGTAAATAATGAGAATGTCTCCACTTAACAGCATTATTGTTAAAAGTATCTGAGGCAATGCCTCTGAAATGCTTAGCATGAGTCCTGGCGCATGGTAAGTGCTCAATAAACGTTCACTGTCATTACTATTATCACTAATAATAATGACTTCGGCTAGAGAAGTCAAGTAGCTTTAATTACCCATTAAATCTCAAATTATTAGATTCTTGAGTGTGTCATTTGTACAAATGAAAATATCACAGTTGGGGTAAAAAATATAATTCCAATAAATAATTGAACAAAAGTAAAAGTATTAATTAAGTATTGATTAATAGCACCTACCTTAAAATTTGTACTTGAGATAAATCTGTAGAGCAAATGCAACTTTTCAAGTTAATTCAATAACTTTGGCATTTTGAATGTCCTCAATTATTTCAAGTGAAGCAAAACTATCTCTAAATAAATCTCCCATGTGAGGACACTGATTCAACAGTGACTCAAGGGGAAATGCAGCATTGCTTCTCACCACAATTAGAAATTTTAATATATTTAATTTAAGGACAATTAATCTACAGTCAACGGAGCTTACAAATCTGACAGTTGTGGTTAATCCCCTGAGGTAGCAAAAATATAGACAAGAGGAATGACCTTTATTTGTCACCACGAGAAACAGCACATGCTAAAATATTAAAAGATCGCCGGGTGCGGTGGCTCACGCCTGTAATCCCAACACTTTGGGAGGTCAAGATGGGCAGATAACCTGACTTCTGAGTTCAAGAGCAGCCTGGCTAACATGGTGAAACCCTGTCTCTACTGAAAATACAAAATCATCTGGGTGTGGTGGCAGGCACCTGTAATCCTGGCTACTCGGGAGGTTGAGGCAGGAGAATCGCTTGAACCTGGGAGGGAGAGGCTGCAGTGAGCCAAGATTGTGCCACTGCATTCCAGTCAGTGCAACAGAATGAGACTCTGTCTCAAAAAATATATAATCTATATCTATATCTACATGTAGATATAGATATAGATATATATAAAGACATGTCAGATATTAGAGAAATATTGAGTTTGAGGTTGAAATTCATACACAATTTTGAGGGAGAGGGTTATGAGACCTATTCTGTAAAACAGACAAAATTTTAAAAAACCTTGTACTATAACTTTGTCCTGTCTTTAAATTTGTGGCAAATAACAGTTAACATTAGCATATTTCTGTTGCATAGTGACAGGTTACAATGCAGTATACACCACCCTGCATGCATGCCTCACAGTGGCATTTGGGGGATGATAACACACATAGAAAAGACAGCTGAGATCCTCTTTTGTCCTGTCTGTATTCTTTTTGTTTTTCCTTCAAAGACTGAATATGTGGAGCCATCAGGATCTGGTTTATAATTTAATTGAGCTGAGGTTTATGCTCATAACTAAACAATAAAGTTAAAGTAATGACTTTCAATCACAGGACTGTGGCACATAGTTTAATTTACATAGATAATTAAAATCACCACCCCTACTGTCCTTTCTTTGTGCTTGGTGCTGTACTAGCAAGATAGCTGGATATTACCAGGATCCCTTTTCCATTAAAGGGAGATGGAGGATAAAAAGGGGGTGTGTGGAGCCTTTTTAATGTAATTCACCAACCCCCTTTCAAAGCTGAAAATGCTTAAAGTGAAATATGTGTGAGCCAATTGGTTTTAACTTTCAAGTGAAAATTACTCTGATAATTAAGGAAAGTTTAACAAACTGGCTGGGTGCTTCAACAGATAGCATTACATCTGCCTTTCATTTCTACATGTTCATGGGGTTTCCTTGGTAAACGTGAGTTGCATATCCTTATCTGCTGAGTCACAGAGCTCTTTCAGTGGGCAGTACTTTCTCATTCTGCTAATCATTTGTGAACTATTATTTAACTGTCAGAGCCCTAGAGTGGAGTGGCAAGTTCTAATTTTATAGTAGAAAAAAATAAAATCTACAGAGAAAGAACCTCTATGGATTTTATTTTAAAAAAGAAAACAAAACAGAGAAAAAGAATTGACATTCCATGGTAATTCCTGTGGTAATTGTTATTTATCGGCAAATCACTTTACTAACCCATACACAGCAACCTGGTAATTGTTTTATTTTTTTATTTTGGCTTTCATTGAGCTCTGCAACAAAGTTAGAGCTTGGCAACCTGATATAGTATGACAGGGTTGAAGGGGGAAGCCATTATTACTGACGACACTAATGCCACCATTAGCATGATATCACTTGGTACAGACCAGTGATGTGAAGCCTACATCCCTCTCAAATTGAAGGTGTGTGGTGGTGACAGATATTTCTGAGAGTACTGCTTCAATCTGTGTCCTAATTTTTTTAGAAGTTAAAAAAAATACTCTTCCATATAAAAGATACACTTCCATATAAATATACTCTTTCATATAAATATGTACTTTTCTATATGAAAGATACACTCTTCCATATAAGTATGTACTCTTTTATCTAAAAGATATATTCTTCCATATAAATCTTAGGTATGTTTGCTAGATTGCATGGCATTTTAAGTACTTTCTTAAATATATTATCCTTTGATATTGACAAAATACTATCCAAGAATGAGAAATCCTGTTTTTAATGAATTATGCCACAGAGAGTTGATTTTCTATCACATAGCTAATGAGATGCTTCCTCTAAAAACTTAAGTAACTAAAATTACTTATGGGTAATACAGTTTAAAAATAAGATTAGAGTTAAAATAATTTTTCTTTTGATTTTTTTCAGTGGTAGCTATGATTCTATTTATCTAAAATCAAGGCATGTTTAACAAGATTACAATTGATTTACCTTTATAAAAGTTGATAGTTGCATTCTTATACTTAAGAAGAACATTCAGAAATCCAATTACAAATTCAAAAAAATGCTTCTGGCTACTTGTTTGGTTTTAATAATACGTATTCATAATTAAATGACATTTTACATTAGAAAAGTTGTTTAAGTCTGTTGGGTAATTATGTGAAGATGGAACTTTCGCAAACAAATTAATCTGGATTTATTTGATTTAGACACATTTAAAAAGCAGGTTCAAGATGATGGATAATTTTCAAATCCAGAAACTCACTTCCAGAAATGCCTCCAAATACTATACAGCAAATCTTCTATGTGTCACTCATGAATGATACTAAAAACAATCACTCACATTGGACAAAGAGAAATTAAACAAGAATTCAATGAAGTGAAACTGTTAAACTGAGAGTTTTAAAGAGTTACCCTTTTTCACAGTGGCTTGCCTTAATAATGAGATTGGGCACCAGGAAATGGAATAGAAGTCAAGCAACCCTTACGTGTCATTATATCAAATGAATTCTATGCCAGCAAATCTAACTTGATTGCTGAGTCTTATTTACTAAAAATATCTTTAAATATAACTTCAGATATCAGCATATTTGTAACAGTAAGATACCAAATTATTTTTCTTTTCTAGAAAGTATTGACATGTGATTTCTGATTTTTTTCCTGGTCTGCTGTGAAAACCAAGTTCCGCAAAGTTAGCTGTAGTTAAAGCAGTTATCGCCATGTTATTCATATAGCAATCTTCTTAGAAGAATCATTAAAGTGTGTGCATATAGAAAGGGTAGGTACAACTGCATGAAACTATTTGCACATTTCTCATTATTCTGACTATATAATAATCAATTCAGTTATTGCATGGATTTTTTAAAAACAACTTGTTAAAATATTATATGCTAATGGAAAAACAAATGATGGAGCAAATACTATATAAAGAGTGAGAATTTTTTTTTGAGGTGCTTACATCACAGCAAATCACTGCCATGCTGTCATTTCTGTGCTCTGTAAGACTCTTCTCTTCACTTGCCCCCTGGTTAATTCCTACTAATGTTTTATGGCTGAGCTTAAATAACTTTAAAAAAAAAAATTAAACATGGGGTCTCACTATGTTGCCCAGGCTTGTCTCAGACTCCTGGACTTAAGCAATCTTCCTACTTTAACCTCCCAAAGTTCTGGGATTACAGGTGTGAACTACCAGGCTCAGCCAAGCATAAACACCAATTCCATAAGACAGATTTCCTTCATCCAAGGTCATGACAATTAGGATCCCTTTAATATTTTCTTGTCATCCCCTTTATTTTCCTTCATAGAATCTGTCACAACTAGTAATTACACATCTTATGTGATGTGTAAATTTATGCCTGCCTATCCTAACTCCATGGCGGCAAAGCCCATAACTATGTTATGCGTTGCTATATTCCCTTAGTAAATGGGTATTTTTCTGAAGAAATGAGTGAATGGGTACTCAGTTTGTACCACGCCCACCTCCTGTATACTTTATACAATATCCAAACTCCATACAAATGGACTATTTTAAAACAACAAGTTTACCTACTTTTTAAATTCTTCTCCTATTTCCATTAGCTTTTATGTAATAACAACAGTTTGGTGAACAAAGCAATCCTTTTCCTTGTATCCACATATATCCCTTGTTTTTACTAAGGTCTCTGTGCTTTAAATATTTAAACTCTAAACAACTAAGTGGCAGTTAAAACCATCACACATTCTCCTGCTCTTGTGTGAATCCTCAAAAAATAATATAAAGGGAGGAATAATAACCATGAATATTATAAACATGTTTTGCATTTGACTAATTTGCACATGTTAAAGATTTGATGTAACTAATAATTCATCAGTCTTTTCCACATGCAAACCAAGAAAATGATAACATCGGTTTGAATATCAAACATAATGATACCGAGGCAGCTTTCAATCATTACTAAGAAAATGATAGCATCAGTTTGAATATCAAACATAATGATACGGAGGCAGCATTCAATCATCCATGTTAATGGAATAGATATAATCCATCCCCACCAATAAATGCAAAACCTCACTATACCCCCCGATTTGTTTTCTTCTTTAACCCATTATAAGATCTGATAAGAGGCAGAAAGGGGAAACCATCACTTCCTTTTATGCTTCTGCCCGGCTCTTTGAATAATGATAACTCAAAATAGTATAACGCCCTTTTAGATAAGAAGAAAAGGAAGCGAGGAAGGGGAAGGATGAGAAGGAAAAGAAGCGAAAGGAATGATGAATAACTCACAAAGAGAAAAACAGGTGCCGCAGTATGTTGTGGGGAATGATATTTTGGAACACATTCTATACCACCTCTTGTGAATAACAGGAAAAAGAAAGCAACATTACTTCTGGATCAGGTCTAACCTCAGTACTGTCGAGGGACATAACAAAGCTATGTGAAGCTATCAGAATTTCACATACATGATCCCCAGCTGCAGAGTCACACAGCTCTTCCTGGTCTTCCACCTCCAAGTGGTTAAAGTAATTTTTCTTCCAGTGAGATGCATGTAATTTTTTATTATGTGGTTTCAAATCAAGCTCTAGTCTTAGAAAACAGAAACAGAAAATCAACATTGTGAAGTATTATAGATTTTGCATGTCTAAACAGCTGTGATGAATTAGTCACAGTTACAATGAACTGTAGGAAAAATCTACAGGCAATATATTGCTTTTGCAAGTTTTATATTAAAGTAAAAGAAAACCCTCAAGTAATATCATATAATAAATTATTGTAACAGTGGTTGGTAGTAGGAGTAATTTAAATAAGATTAATTTAACAACCTTTAAATATCAATAAGTAATAAATATCTCCATGCATGGGGGTCCACGTTTCACTTTAGTTAGAAATAATGAATAATGCCAGTTGCCTAATATAACCCTAATAACAGAATAAGAATACTTGGCACTTTAACAATTTTCATTAGAAGAGCTCAAGTATCACTTCATGGGACAAATCTGCATCTGTTCCATATGAGGCATGCAAAAGATAAGTTCTATAAAGAAGTTCCCAAGTTAACTTTGCAAAAAAAAAAAAAAAAAAAAGTAAAATGAATCCAAGCAGTAAACCAAATCCTGTGATCAAACTCAATGCTCCTTTTTTGCAATGATCTGCTCCTAACTCTAATGTAAAGAAGTTGTCAAAGATTAGAGATACCTGGCTTTTATTTTGACCTTTATTTATTTATTTTATTTTTTTCAGACAGAGTCTCAGTCTGTCGCCCAGGCTGGAGTACAGTGGCATGATCTCAGCTCACTGCAACCTCTGCCTCCTGGGCTCAAGTGATCCTCCCATCTCAGTCTCCCAAATAGCGTGGACTACAGGAATAAGCCATTACATCTGGCTAATTTTTGTATTTTTTGTAGAAATGGGGTTTTGCCATGTTGCCCAGAGTAGTCTGGAACTCCTGGGCTCAAGCAATCCACCTGCCTCAGTCTCTCAAAGTGCTGGGATTACAGGTGTGGGCCATCACTCCTGGCCAATATCTAGCTTTTAACAGTGAGATTCTGGTGCCTCAGATAATTCATTATAGAGTTTTTCAAGTTATTTATTTCCAACCACCAAAAAAAAAAGGAAGACATTATTCTGGCATATACATTTAGATTAACTTTCAAATTACCATCCTTATCCCCATCTTCCTTTCTCTTCCTTCCTTTTCTTCCTCTTTTCCTTTCTCTGCACTCTCCCATACCATTTTTTATCCTTTCCAAACACTACAAAGGCAGTGCAGATTAAGCGTTAGATTTGTTAAGTGAGAAAAAGGAGAGTGTATATACAGTGTAATCTTAATGATTTTTCTTTATATGCTTCCAATTTAAAAAAGTTATAATGATTATAAGGATTTTGCATTGTGGGATACTGAATTATTTTTAACTCAATTGTCAACTGTATTTCCAAATTTTTCACAATAAAATGTATTACTTTGATTAGTAAAAAATAACAATATGGGCCAGGTGCGGGGGTCCTAACTCCTGTAATCCCAGCACTTTAGGAGGCCGAAGCAGGTGGATTACCTCAGGTCAAGAGTTTGAGACCAGCCTGACCATTATGTGAAACCCTGCCTACTAAGAATACAAAACTTAGCCAGGAATGGTGGCATACACCTATAGTTGCAGCTACTTGGGAGACTGAGACAGGAGAATTGCTTGAACCCAGGAGGAGGAAATTGCTGTGAGCTGATATCATGCCATTGCACTCCAGCCTGGGCAAGAGAGCAAGACTTCATCTCAAAAAAAAAAAAAAAAATGTAAACTCTCGAATACTATTTTTAAACTTTAGCTATGGGCCCTCCCTGGAAGAATTTATGATGCTTAGAGTCTTAAATGTGCTAAATCAAAATTAGTGTAATAAAGTAATGAGTGTTGATTTAGGAAATGGAAAGAATGAAGTTGAGTTGGTGGGTTGGACACTGTTCTTCTGGATCCAAAGAAAACAGAAGAGACACAGAATCGCTTCAAAGAGAAAAACAGCACAGCCGAAATAAAAAGAGTGTAAATAGGTTTAGCAACTAAGTCGACAGGAGCTGGTTTTGAGGATGAGTCTAAAACAGAGCCTCCAAACTTAAGGAGGGGAAGTTTGCTTGAATTGTGCATTAGTCCATTTCAGTTGCTTGTAACAGAATACCTGAAATGGGTAATTTATAAAGAAAAAGACTTTTTTTTTCTTGCAGTTATGTTGGCTGAGAAGTCCAAGGTTCAGGGGATGCATCTGGTGAGGGCCTTCTTGCAGATGTGGACTCTGCGGAGTCTGATGGTGGTACAGGGTATCACACAGTGAGGGGGCGGAGCTTGCCAACGTGTTATGCTCAAGTCTCTTTTCCTCTTAAAAAGCCACCAGTCTCTCTCCCATGATAACCCATCAAACCATCAAGTCATTAAGCCATTAATTCATGATGGCAGAGTCCCCATAATCCAATCACCTTTTACATGCCCTTTTAATCCACTTTGTAGATTTAGTTTCCACATGATATTTAGAGGTGACCAATATTCAAACAAAAGCATATTGTTTACTCAAATTAAAGAAGGTGAAGTTTAACCTTTAAAGCACTACAGATAGCAAAATAAATTAAATATAATTCCTATGGACATATTAGGTTATTGAGGTTATATTGACAAGTTTTTAAAATCTGCTTATATGTTAGGTACATTATGTGTTAATATTATAGTCCATGCTTAGATTAGCAGTTCTCAAAAGCTGGTGTAAACAGATTCTGGAAGGTTATTAAAAATGCAGATTTCTGTTCATTAACAGACACTGTTATATATTCTGTTTTAGAATTGACACAGGAATATGCATTTTCAGCATGAATCCCCACCTGAAACTGACACAATTATCCCAGGACCACACTTTGTAAAACAGTAGATCCCAATGGGGCTTCAGTGATTCTGACTAAAATCAACCATTTAACCAGTATGTCTTTCTAACATGATATTTTTAGACATCTTGGAAAGAAGAAAAATAACTTATCCATGTAAAAGGTAGTTTCCTATTACAAGTAAATACTCCATTATAGATGGTGAAATATAAAAATAAGTTGGAAGGAGCTCAACAAAGATTTGAAATAACCATGCTTTTCTATATTGTTTATCCAATGAATATTAAAAGTTGTAGTTGAGTGAAATAGCAGTTAAAGAAAATGAGGCAAATAAATAGATTGGAAAAACTGTAATCCAGAAGTGGCATTTTATTTGTGTCTTGAGCATACAATACATTTCTCTTTCATTAAATTGTTGCATGCTGTTTTCTTGCATCTATTCATCCTATTAGTTCCTGATTCATAATTTGGCTGTTTATAGCCCTAATTCTTAAACAAAAAAGGAAGAAATAGGTCACTCAAGTTCGTTTGCTACAGGCTGCAGATGCACAGGGCTCAAATAAGTGAGTCGAATCTTTAATATGGCCACAGTGCCTTCCACTACTGTTACCACAAACTCTACCCTGTATGCTGGCCATGTTACAAGTGAAAAGTGGTCAGAGTTCATGTCAAAATGAAATATTCCTAGCACATCTTAGCCCTGCCAAAAATATCTAGAGCAAGCCACATGACCTAGTACCTTTTTTTTGTTATTTTGCATTTTTGCTTCCAAGTCTCCTACTATCTTTGTCAAGTGTTAAATTTAGAAAAATTGTTTCCTTTTAGGGTTGTGGCAATTATGCAAATAATAGCAAAAATAAGTTTTCTTTTGATATATCTCCATTTTACCTACCATCCCCTCTTTTACCTGTATTTCTGTTACAATAATTGATTAATTCAATAAATATTAATTTCTAAGACTGCCACCAAAAATAAGGTAGTGGGTATGCCAAAGTACAGCTACCTACAGTGTCTCCAAATCTTCCTAACTAAAGATTCAGGGACCAATTGAGGTAACAAGTCCTCACACTTTCTCAATCTGATTCAAGGCAACTAAAGATTCCCCACTATTGGTCCTGATGGTTCAGTGAGTATTGTGAAAAATGACAGAGATTGGGAGCAAGAAGGAGATAAAACAAGGTTTGGGGGAGTAGGGAGAGGGAGGGAGAAGTCAGTACAAATCTGTCACTAATAAGATGTAGTCTGTGGCAACATCGTGAATGCATCTCTGCCAAGCTCACAATCAACATAAACAAGTGCCAAAGCATGAAAGGCTGACTCGAAATATGTGTCTCACTGGGTGCCTACTATTTGGTATATATGGTGCTGGTTGCCATGGTAGAGAAGATACACAGAGGTGAAGGACATGCTTCCTGTTTTCAAGCACCCCACCCTCTACCCTGAAGAGAGGGCCGTGCCCTCACTGACCATAACACCATTGCAAAGGCCAGCTCATCAAAATGCAGCGTAATCAGAGCACAGGTCATGTGATTCGGATTGGGAGGAGCAAGTAAGTATTTGTAAGGCAAACAAGAAAATCAAAGGAAGATCCGGTAGAAGGAGAAGCTTGACCCAAGGCATCTGCAAATGGAAGCAAGCAGCATGCTTCAAGAAAGACGGTATTTGTGTGACTGGTATTTGTAGCCTGCAAGTGGACTGAAAGGGCCAGAGGAAAACAAGAAAGGTAAATTGGGGCTGTTCCTGAAGGTCCACACTTGGCTATCACATGAAGGGAGTCTCAAATTCATTCTTCGGTAGCAGACCTTAATAAAGATTTTAAAGCTAAAGAAAAAAATGAGCAGTCGTGAGTCTTGGAGTCAAACTGATGAGCACATTTAGTACTGGGCACCACCGGTATTGTTTTTCCCTCTCCAAACAGCTTGCTATCTTCCCTTTGAGGAAATACCTCTCTCCCTTGGACCTGAAGTCCTCAGCTCTGGTGAATTCAAATACCCATTGCATCTCACCACACCTCTGGAGGATCCCATTTCCTTCCAGAACTTTCCTTTCATCTTCTAGATATAGCTAGAAACCAAGCAGAAAAGCAAGCTCCTCCCATCAGACACTGCCTACCTGGAATTAGGACTTCTGTCCGGTGATAGAGATGAAAATAAGGTAAGTGCGGGACAGGCACAGTGGCTCACGCCTGTAATTCCAGCACTTTGGGAGGCCGAGGTGGGTGGATCACTTGAGGTTTGAGTCCAGCCTGGTCTACACAGTGAAACCCCATCTCCACTGAAATTGCAAAAAATTAGCTGGACATGGCGGCAGACACCTGTAATCCCTGCTACTCGGGAAGCAAAAGCAGGAGAATTGCTTGAAAACGGGAGGCATAAGTTGCAGTGATCTGAGATTGTGCCACTACACTTCAGTCTGGGTGACGTGAGTGAAACTCCATCTCAAAAAAAAACAAAGAAAAAGAAAAAGAAATAGAAAATAAAGTAAGGGCTCTTCACCATCTCATGATTTTCTCTTTCCTGCTTCCTAACCATCTAGGTCACCTTGGTTCCTGCTCACTTCTTTTTATTTTATTTTTTTAAATCTGAGATAAAATATAGAAAATTTATTGTCAATAAGCTACACTGCAGATTATGTTTTTACATTATACTGCACTGAGTGACAGCATACAAATCATGCCTTCATAATAATAAAACATACTCAGTTTGGGGAAAAGGACATTTATATTTTGGGGTTAGTATTCACTGGATGGAAACTTCAAAGGCTGCAGTGATTATCAGACAGAACAGTTGTCAACTAAATGTGAGATGGACCTGCTACAGAGGACAAGGGCACTTCGACTCTGCCACCTCTGCTCTCAGACCTTGCACATTGCCAGATCTATTTCACACCCACACCCACGCAGCCACACAACACTCCTATAGCCACACACATACACATGGCTCAGAATGCAGGCACTTACATACTTAAATATACTCACATCTTGGAGCACACTCACACACACACACTTACACACCCTCACATATACATACACACAGACCTCCTGACTGAATCAAGCAGAGCAAATACCTATGAACCAAATGTATCTTCCTTTGCCTGCGTCTCATGTCTATAGAGAGTCATGACACCCATGTCTGTTAGTGCACAATAGTGAGTAGCTTTCAGGACAACTAGCCTTGGATACATCTTTTAATTTTGATTGTCTTCTTCCATGGGAATTTTAAACATGCCCCAAAGTAGTGAGGACAGAAAATGAACTCAAATGTACCCATCATCCAGCTACAGAACTCATCAACTCATGACTATTCTTGTTTCTTTTATAATCCTTTCTACCGTCACCCTACAATGGAGCAAATTCTAGAAAAAGCGTCATTTTAGTCATAAATATTTCAGTATGCATCTCTAAAACAGAAGGATTTTTTTTTGGGAAACATTCCCCATGCCCATTTTTAGCACTGGTGCTCTAGCCTGCCTAGTGATTCTCTGAGCTCCCACTCTCCTTCCACCAAGTTCCCCTTTGCTCAAGTTCCCCAGAGTTTCTACGCTGTTGCAACCTTGGAAGAATACCTGATACAGTACATGGAAGAAGTCCTTTATGGTGAGGCAATAAAGGATGCTTTCTAAGAGAATGCTAAGACTACAGGGATGTATCATAGCAGTAGAAAAAGGTCCCATGGGACACCGAGGAAGGGACCAGAAGATGCATTGGGATGAAGATAGGTGTAAAAGGGGATGATCCCAAATGTGGGAAGGAAGAGAGTGCAGGAAAAAGCACATGGAAACATCACTAGATTCTAGTAGCTATGGTATATCTTGGTACATTTCAGGGTTTATAAAAATGCTAAATCTTATTACAACTATCGTAAATGCAGTTCTCAACCTTGGTTCTGTAACAAAATACAAGCAATCACACATGTTTTTATAAGATAATTCCCCTATACAGAGAATATCGTCATTCTCTTAGTAATCCGCTCCCACGCACATTATCCTCTCCTGAAATAAAAAAGAGGAAAGTGGTGAGACATTTGAAATAAAACTTTAAAAATAAACACAAAAAGTGTATTTTTTTCTTAATTCATGTTTTGTCATCATCCTTGAGAAAGCCGAAAGGATGCATCTTGTGTGATGCCACATGGGGTAGAGGCTCTCTGTTCAGAGCTAGAGTGTAAGCTCTAAGAGAAAACTGTTTTGTTTATCCTCTGTATCTGCTGGCACCTGTGCCCAGGATGTGTGAATGTACACCTGCACAGAACAGAATGTTTAGACCAGAGGGTCAGGGTCAATGCCTCAAATAGAGGGATGGTTGAACAGGGCCATCCCTGAAATATTTACTTCCCCTGGCAATGTCACACCTTCCTGGAAGTTATATCAGAAAACATGAATTCTTGAGACTCTGAGCATAGTAGGCATAAGGCAAGAAGAAAGCATGATCATTGACGTAAATAGTCCTTCACTAGCCAGCTCTCAAATCAGTCTACAAATCAAGACAATGTCTGGAGAATGGAAAAAGGAAGCATTAAACCCAATTCTTTCTGAAAGTTCCCGGCGCCTCTGCATCCTGTGAACAGAGCGAGAGAGCAAAAAAGAAGAGCAGATGGCACAGACGACAATGTAATCCTAGAAACACAGAGGTCTTGTTTCAACATTAAAAGCATGCTGCTCATTAGGACAACAAACTCACCCCCTCCCTGCCCTGCAGAAGAGCAGATATTTGTAATTTGCAATTGGTTGGAGCCAAAAGGCCAACTCATGCTCTTTGGTCAGTCCCCAAAAAGAGCTTCTCAACATAATTCTGAGGCTATTAGGAGCCAATGATGTGAAAAATAGTTTTGATTAGAGGTGTACCAGATGGATAGATATCAGAAGCGGGCGAGGTAGCACCATATTACAAGGATAGATGCTATTTCTGTGATAATGAATAGACTGTTCAAACTTTGGTCATCCACATTCATTCTTGGAGGGGACAACTGGCATTTAGGAACATTTAATGACCAAGTCACCTCATCCCAAGCCACTCACCTTATGGTACCCAATAAATATTAATTAAGGATGATGATAAAGAGCAGTTCCTTCTGGGGTGAAACATGTTTGCTGTTTAGCAGTGCGATACATACCCTTATATAGCTCCACAGGTAGAGGAGTGAGGCACAACGATTTTTCTAATTGAAACTGCGGGAGGTCTTTAGGTAACAGAATCTTATTACCTAATCTGGAATTTGGCCAGAGCAATGGGGTGTATGCCTCCTGTTTTCAAAGAGAAAGTCATGATTGTTTAAAAGCAGGAGATCTTCAATCCACATTGACATTAAGTGACAAAACTGACCAGGGTGAATGTCGAGTTGTCAAAGGTAAATGATTGCACAGCTACGATAATGCATTATTGAGGTACCTTAGAAAAGATCTATTTTGTCAGAGAACATCTTTTTATAATAATTCATGAAAAGAGTCTGTGAAATTAAAGGCTGCTGCAAGCCAGGTATCTTTCCTGCTCTGCTTCTTTATTCTGAAACGTTGTTCTGTATTGGAAGTATCAGCAATTATTTGGTACCGGGAGGGAAGGAAGTGAGGAGCAGGTAGCATTCTTCCTTTCCTAAATGTCCTGTTAGGACCGGTTTGCCATTCATGCATCTTCTTCTCCTGGGGGAGCTTTAGCCCACCTGATTTTATCATCTTTCTTAGTCACTCTAATCTTTTAACAACGTAACACTGTCCTCCATTTAACCAGAGAAAAACATTGTGACGTGATAAACCAGCATCACTTCTGATCTTATTCTTCTTTGGGCATGTGACCACCTAGAATGATTAAAATGTCCAGTGATTCTAATAATGCAATTACTTTCGGTAGAATCTTCAAATTTAAATTTTACACTGTCCTTGTTTTTAAACCTGCAATTCATGTGCTTATGTGCTTATTTTATTTTGTAAGTCTCTCTAGGAGTACTGATGTAAATTGCTCCATTTTTGAGGACTATGAGGGGGAAAAAATCAAATCTACCAGATGGCTAGCATCAGTGGTTCTACAGTGTTAGCATGTACAATAATACACAGTCCCTAATTGAATACAAGAATGTAACTCAATGGAGGGTCTGTGCTAACATCATCAACCATGACAGTGCAGACCGAGCAATTAATAAACAGCAATAACATCTTTCAATTGAATTCTATCAGAAAGGGGCATTATAATTGAGGTTTCTGCAGTATACTTTTCATGAATTACACCTGCTAATAAAAGAAAAGTGGATACTCGTCTAAAATCATGAAACAGCCATTAATTTTAATATGTACCACTAAAGCAAGAAACAACAACAAATAAAAGGAAGATGTGTAATGGACAAAGAGAAAGGGATTACTAACTGATTGTTGTTCAGGAAGAGTTTTAGTCACTGTGACATTGAGTTTTTCTTAACAAAATCCTTTAGAACCTACAGATCCTCTCAGTGTCATTTTAAAAATCGAAGTAAACATCAGAGTTGAAAGAAGTAATGCAAAGAGACAGGGCAATCTTCTAAAGCTACCAGGCATTTCTTCCTGCTGCTGATAAACATATCCTTGAACAGTTCAGAGAACTAAATGAGGAAGGAAAATTTTGTGAATAATTTGAGCAATGGGCTGAAACGAATCACATCCAAATTACAACACTACCCTGGAAGGACCATTTTCTGCCCTAACTTCACTTCTAAAAGGACTTGTCCTAGTTTTGTTTTAAAATCTATTCCAATTGATTTAGAGTTCAAGATCATCTATATTTGTGGCTGCATTTCCTTTGCTTGCACTATAAATTTTCTTTATTCTGGGTTTGTACATGGTAGAGGAAAGCATGAGAGAATCTATATAATACTTTGCAAAATCTTAAAATCGCTATAAAATTAAATGTGGCTTCAAAGTCATGAGAATCAGTTTTTAACCAATGACATAATTTCTTGAGCTGAAAAAATATTTTATACTGACTGTATAATGTTAGAGTAATTTAAAAAAATTAAAACTTTATTGATTGCAATTGTAAAATGACTGTTCAGATTAAAGTCTTTTTGTTTTGTTTGTTTTTAGGTAGCAAACCATGAACTCTAATTAAAAAGAACCTGAACAAGACAAATTTTACTGCAGAGATACTGGTCATCTCAAAAAATCCACATATGGGGAACAACCCGGACCTCAGAAAGCACAGAAACCAAGACACCAGTATGGTATATTGCTGGTAATTATTCTAAACTTCCTTAATATTCATTACTTCCCAATGCCCATTACCCAAATTTCCAGAAGAAAATCTGCTAGAATTTGCAAAATCCAGCTTGGATCATGTATCTTGCTCCTGCTGTAATTACTCATGGCTGGGTTGGAGGTTGGGTCATAAAAGACACCTCACTACTCTTTTCAACCCTTGCAATCTTTTGATTAGAGACTATGTCACAGCAGGGGTTGCCACTGTAGGCTGAGGAAACAGCCCCCAAGTATTTTCAAGCATAGTTCCCATTTTGCTGTTGCCAAATTTGTGTACATGTTTGTATTAATTCTGGTTGTCTGAAGTCTCAATTATGCAAAAAAATATGTTAAAGGAACTTTACATTATTTTGGGCCTTAAAAAGAAACAACATGGTTCCTTACTAGTTTATTTAACTATGAGTTTGCATTAGGCTACAAAACTGATAGTGGCATTTGAAAATTTTGACCTTGAGGCCTTCTCAACAAATGTGTGTGGTGTTCATTTTAAATTATTACAATAAAAACTTTATATTAAAAAGTTCCACCATTAGGAAGATTGTATATCATCTAAATACATTCATTTGCCTTTGTGAATTGAAAATGTCATCTAACTACAGTTCATAAATTTTAGAGGCCGTATATTAAAATTATTCATAATAGTCTAAATGAAATCTTAAAAATATGAATTATTGCAGTTGGTTGAATATATTAGGTTTTTCTTATCCTAGTGTTTTTATCTAGGGTCATCTGTTCAGTCCAACTTTAAGTCTTGCTCATAACAGACTAAGGTAGACAGTTGGAAAAATGGCATAATTGGATTTTTAAAAAGGATATTCTATTTTTGTAACAAAGAATACAGAAAACACATTTACAGTTATTTCTTTAAACTTTTACTTCACTTGAAATTATAGTCCTCTTCATGTATTGACTTCAAACAAGTTAGTTTCGTACTTGTTTGCATATGTAATTCTTTTATTCCTATTTCTCCTTCTAATCTTGCATTGGACTGGACAAAGAGGACCAGTACTTGTTGAATAAATGAATGAATGAGTGAATGAATGAATGAGCAAGTAATTCTATACTATCATGCCTAAGTATTGAAAGAGTTTTCTAACTGCCCTTGGGTTGATTTTTAAAATAAGTTGATTATATTACCTCCTTGCTCAAAAGGCCTTTTAGCCACTCTCTAGTGTCTATTGACAAAGTTCTATGTCCTCAGCCTAGAAATTTTAAACCTTTCAACCCTTCAGGTAAGTTTTTTTTTTCAAGGCCTTTTCTCCCATCAGTTAATTGTTAGATCTTCTGCAAGAAACGTGCTTATTACCTTTGTTACTATTGTTGCTGTCTTCCATTTGATGGTGACAGCTGTCATCTTATGTTCTCCATCTGAAGTTCCACATGAGATGCTCTCTTGCACCTCCACTATTGTTTCCACTGACTGTCACATACTCACTAAGTACTAGCTAAGTGAATTGAGTAATGGATGGGTCATTAAATTCTATCCATCCTTCAAGAATCAACTCTAATATTCTTTTTTTCTCAGGAGGGCTACCTTAATGATTGCATCTGGAAATTGTCTTTCCTCCCTTTAAATTTCTTTTCATTGCCCAAGTATACAATCATATAATCCCCTCAGCCAGGTGGGTCCTGACCACATGTGCTACACCCATGCCACTCTTTATGCCTAGTACCCTATTTTATATTGTTTGTTTGCCATTCTTTTTTCTGACACAACATCACATCGACTCCATGAAGTCAAATATTTCTTTCCTGTTATAGATATACAAATATACATATATATTTATATATATGCCAAATATATATACATATGCAAATATACATATATGTTTATATGTGTGGGTGTGGGTGTGTATATATATATATATATATATATATATATGCCAGATATATACATATGCCAAATAAATCAGTCAACTTCTACAGAAATGTGTGTGTATATTACTTACTACTTTGGATTCTAGATATGGGTGTTCAATACTTTCTCACTAAATTCTTAAGAACTAAGGTATCAAGTAATTCACCTTCAATCCTCCATCTCTCAGTACTTTCATTCATTCAATGTTAATAGTAATTGTAGCAAATATTCATCAAGTTCTTACTTGATACCAGGAATTGGGCTGTGGTTATTCCACTCTATATTTTATTTGATATCCACAACAATTCTATGAGCCAAAATGATGATTACTTCCATTTTTATATGAATCAATGAATGCTTCAGAGAAATTTAGTCATTTACATAACATCACAATAAATTAAATGCCAAGGCCAGGAATGAGCTCAGGCATATTGGACTCCATGGTCCATGCTCATAATAAATATTGTCTGATGGTGTTTCCCATTGTACCAATAAAGTTTTCTTTTCTTTTCTTTTAAGTGACAGGGTGTTACTCTTTCATTCAGGCTGGAGTACAGTGGCAAGATCATAACTTGCCACATCCTTGAACTCCTGGGCTCAAGAAATCCTCCTGCCTTGGCCTTCCAAAGTGTTGGGATTACACAGATGAGCCACCAAAGGTTTCCTGAATGATTCAGTGAATACGAACCTATCAGGGTAAAAAATATCTAACTTGTATTTATGAACAAGAATCACAGAATCCAATAGCAGGAAGGGCTCCTATCAATTATCTCACCCAATCCATGCTCAAACTCTATTCTTCAAATTCATCTCCTCTATGATTTCCTGGCTAAGATTTTTCCCAGCCTCTGCTTGGAAATCCCTAAGGAAGAAGAGTTGATTTTGTCCAGCAGTATACCTTAGCATTGTAGACTGGCTCTGAACTTCAGGGTGAGCCATTCCTTTTTATAATGAATCAAAATCTGCCTTCCTGAAGATTCCATTCACACATCTATTTCTGTTCCCTGTAATGGCACAGGATACACGTAACTTCTTCCTCACATTGGCCACCACCATGTCCCCATCGAGCCTGTTCTTCTCCAGGCTAAGTGTCCCCAGGTTTTTTGACTACCTTTTTGTCTTACTCTTGCATGGCACCAGGCATAGCACAATGGGAGTATGTAAAGCATTATACAAAATATTAAAAATAGCCATATAAATTCTATAAAACTACAGAAGCCTAAATATAAAACAAAAGGAATTATTTGCTCACAACCTCCTTAATAACATTGTATACTATTTAATGAATGCTAACATCCATTGATTCTTTGTGGAAAGTCTGTACTCAGCCCATTGCATGCATTATCTTATTGTATCCCTTGCCAGATGCCATGGGGTAGGTGCTATTATTAATAATTTTAGTAATTTCATTTAATAGATCATGAAACTGAGTCTCAAAAAGGGTTATGCCCTCCTCAAAGACATTCAGGTAGCAAGCAGGAGTGATGAAAATGATAATACCTGTCTTAGTCCAAAGCCTGTGCCCTTAACCACTACCCTATACTGCCTCATAAATTTAAAAGTATCCCTGTAAAAATAAACATTTACCAAGTATGCAATGCAATTTAAATTTCAAGTATTTCTATAATTTTATATGATATAAATGCTTTTTTGCTTATCTCAACAACTTCTTTCTTGCTCAACATAGAGTAATAAATTTTACACTGAAAACCCTCTTTTAACCTTTAAAATACCAATAATGCAATAGTTATACAATTGAAAAAATGTTCCTCTTTCCCTTGCTCTCTCTTTTATTTACATCTTTTCAATCTGAGTTTATTCTGCTTTGCTAGGGCAGCAATTATCTGAGATAACATTGCCATGGCTATTATGTGATACCTAGAGATTCCAAGTATTTTGTTCATTCTCTTGATGACTTTTGACCTGTTGGTATTTTTTAGATCACATAGTTGGTTGTGTGTGGGTGGGCAGGGGAGTAAGGACATGAATGTACAGGTGAATGGCTGTACATGTTTAATTGGGACTTTTAATAGAACACCTTGTGGACTGTTCAAACAAGAGAGTGGAGAGCTGGGTATCCTTGACAACAGTGTAGGTATATAGCAAAACAAAAGAAAGACCAGAAGATTCACAGTGGGAGATCTAAGCAGTAGTTCATTGGGTAACAGCTGACAGCCTTTTTGTGAAAGCCTCAAAAATTTCAAATGTGTTTGTCAAATGTTCTGTGGATAGTGGGTCATTAGAACATTTGAACAAAGGGCATTAATAATTGGCATAGTGGCTGGTGGATCACTGTAAAAACTGATATTGAGTGTTAAATTTTCTGTTACAGATGGAAAGAATGATCAGTGAATAAAGATAAGAACAAGCTTTCAGCACCAATTAACTGGATATCATTGAGCTGACTTCCCCAATAGGAAAAATAAGGTAAAAAGATTTATTCTACTTATTTCACAGGTAATTGGAAGCAGTGCTCAGATCAGTTGTGGGATTCTGTATGGCTTCATAAGACATTAAAATGGATTTCTTAACAATCATGTGTGAAATATAACAATAGTAGATATTTATTGTTTGCCTCCATTGTGTGCCTACCTCGCTCCAGTAATAGTTCACAAATTTTAATTTAGAGATATGCTTTCTCCCAATCTCAGTACCTAGGATTCCATCTGTCTGTGAGAGTGGACACTTGCCTCTGGAAAAGGCCAATCATCATAGCTTATTCCTTGTGTCACTGTGATTGATTCCTAGACAAATATATGACCACAGTGGACATGGCAGCAGCGGTTAGGTTCCTGAAATATTTCTAAAATGTGATTTTTACTAGAAGCGGTTTTACCATTCTGAAGATTCTGATAAATGAAGTCAACGTGCAGAGTTCGGAAATGCAGAGACACCAGAGCTTAAGGACAATGTTGGATTCCTGAACTTAACTACCTTACCTCGGGACTTATCCCATCATACAACTCATTACCATTTGTGATTAGGCAAGCTGAGTTAGACTTTTTGTCACTTGCAGTAGAGAGGCTTAACTAATAAATCAATAAATAATTTGAATTTAATTAATCTTGGTTAAAAAGCCATGCTTGTCCTGTAGCTTTCTGGGGAATGAGTAATCCAGAAAGAGAGAACAGAAAGTAACATAGGCCTGGAGATGAGGAGATGCCTGGGGATGTCTAGAACCAGCAAGGGGGCCAGTATACTAGAGCGTAGAAGGAATAGGCAAGAAGAGTGAAAAGTCAGTGGAGGCAGACTGCACAGGTCGTTGTAAGGTATTAGACCCTTACTTTGAGTGAAACCGAGTGCCATTCCAGGGATTTGAAATAAAGGTCAACATGGTTTGAGTTTCCATTTTTAAGAACAAAGATTGCAGGGGGCCAAAAATCAAAGTAGGACAACCTGCTAAGAAGGCCAATGTGATCATTCCCAGGCAGAGTGATGGTGGTGGCCTGGACCGGAGCAAGAGCAATAGACATGGCGGCGGTGGTCAGGTTGCTGACATATTTCTAAAACATAATAATGGAAATAATTGGCTATGAAGTGGTGGCAGGGAGACAGGAAACAAATCAAGGACCACTCTAAGAGTTTGCCCTGAAAAAGTGAGGGATGGAGTTACCATTGAGATTGGGAACGTTAAGGCTAGGACCACTTGGGAGGTAAGGCCTGGAATTCCATTTTGGGCCCGTCAAGGTTGGGATATTTATTAGGTTTCCAATTGGACATATTAAGTAAGCAGTTGAATATTTAAGTCTGGAGTTCAGGGACTATCTCATGTAAAGCTGAGTCTCATTAAAATAGAACTATAAATGGGATGAGATCACTTTGGATATGGTGGGCGTGGAGGGGGGTGGGGTGCAGGATTTCATACAGTGAATTGTCCAGAGAGTGAGACTTGGTGAACTTCAGCACTGAGAGGTCAAAGACGAGAAAGGAAATAGCAAAGGAGATTGTACAAGAACCGTTAATGAGTCAGGAGCAAGGCCATCCTGGAAGGCCAAGGAATGAAATATTTCAAGAAGGCAGGAGTGACCTGCTGGGTCAAATGCTGTTTATAAGTCCAGTAAGATGAGACTAAGAATAGGCAACTGGATTTAACAACATGGAAATCATTAATAACCTTGATAAAGTCTTTTTGGTGGAATGGTGGAAGGGTAGGTTCTAAAGCTTCACTGGAGTGCGTTTCAACAGACAGTGAATGTAGTCAATGATTTCAAGACACTGTTCTATAAAGAAAAGGGAAGAAATAAAGACATTGTTAGCAGAGACAGTGGGATCAAGAATCGATTTAAAAAACTAATATACAATATAGCAGCATATACACAATTAAGATTCAAGAAAGAGAGAATAATTTACGATGATGGAGAAACAGTAGAATTCCTGGAGAGATGTATTAGAGCAGAAGAAAGAGTATTATGTGATCTAATACTCAGTTCATATTGATGTGGGTGCAATTCTATCTGCCTATTCAAATATTATCTGATGACACTGTGGGGTTTCAGGTAATCTCCATTTTCTCTATTTTTCAAAACATTTGAACAATAATCTTATAAATTATACCTTCTATGACCAGAAAATATGAGGTTAACAATTTGTAAGAAAGCATGAAACATTCCTTTAAATTTTGCTTGATATACTAACACAATAAATATGGAAGAAAAAAGATTGAACTCAAAATTGGCAACCCAGACTTGAGAGCAGCATTACCTGAAGTTTGCAAAAGTGTCAATACTAAGGAGTGATCCTGAGCTTTTGTCTAACATTTTATATTTAACATAGCTCTTGATGTTTAATGAGCCAAAAGATTTAACAGAATAGAAATAAGTAGTGAAAGTAGATATTCCATTAGTTAATTAAAATAAAAGTCCAAAAACTCAAACCCACAAACCTTTGAGAGCTGGCTGAAAAGACATTAAACCACATTTGGAAAGTTCACTAACAAATACACATATTCACTAAACACACACATAGCAGGTGCATAAACACAAA